GTCGAATCTTTAGTTTGTTTGTACTCCAGTATGTGAAACTAGAGATTTAATACTTAACGGACGGAACACGTGGATTTATGTATTTTTACACCAATTTAATGTTTTCAAAAACACCACACTAGACGTTAAAATAAGTAGTTTCTCAAAATTGTATTAATACGTTGACTGCCACGAAAAACATCAGCGTTTCACGTATCGCTGACGCCTTCGTAACAAAGATCATTTCGAAGCTCTGATCACCACTAACCACTGTGGCAGTCAACATGTTAATTGTATTATTAATATGTTGAGCCGTTCATAGAACCCGCGGCGATAAGCACGCACTGGACATCGAGCGTCATCTTCGACGCGTACACTCTCGCGTTTTTTGTTTCGTTATTCAGTTATGTTACGTACGCGTTCCTTCTCGTAGTCGTGTGGTCGCATGGTCAGCCATATAGTGTGTAGTCTCATTTTGTTAAATATATTTTGTTCACTTATCAAATGATTCGTTTGTTATAAATCACCGAAGTGCATTCATCTCCTCATCAGGCATCAAGGTTTTTTTCTTAAAAATTCCCAGAAATTGGAGAAAGATAGATATTTCTCGAATATTTTCTGACATTGTAAATACATTCTGCGATAATAAAGCAGCACAGCCCATAAATTTAATGTTTTCATCATTTTTATGGAATAAATTGATCGGCTGACAATCTATAAGCAATCTTGTTATGCAATGTGACCTATTACGTACCTACTCTAAAAAATTAGAAGGAGTCCTATTATTTAAGCGCGTAATAAAATAGCGAAGCCATTTTTCTTCTCTATTTTATTTTTACGGACAAATCGATCAAGAAGGCTAACATATGTTGTTCAATACAAATTTCAACAATGTATATATAATTCTTGAAAAATTCGTATTTCTTTCGTACGAGTTATAATTTTCTGTACTTTTCTTATTAAAAGGTAAACTTTTTCTATTATCGATTAATTTTTATACTTAATAAAAACAGTTATTTCACTTCGCTGAAAATGTGGAGATCTTTTTCCTGCATATTTTAATTTGTCGTGCTTCCATTTTATTGAATATCAAATATTAAATATATTAAACACATTTTCAGTATAAAAACCATATTTTTCATAATAAATTTCAAGTGACCATGATTTTATTAATGAAACTCGGATGTATACAATAGTTGTAATAAATGACATAGCACATGTATGCTGTAATATTTTGTAATAACATTAACCAATACACATTTTGTATTCCAATAATCAATAAATGATTCTTGTAAATTTTCGAATACTGAAAACGAATCTAAAATCCGTTTGTCTTTATCAGCCTCAATTTATGAGAAACTTAATTATAAATAACAAATAAAATGTTCAACTTCAAAAACATTCATTGCACAAAATTATTTTATAGATTTGGATTAAATAAAACCATGTATATTTGTACGACTGAAGGTGTATATATTTGAACACGGTTACATTCCTACAATTACGTTAATTTCTTAAAAAAATGTCGAAACTTTTTAAAACTGAAAAGGATCAAAGAAAGTTCTTCATAGTATTATTGAAAATAAAATTAAATAGTTACTATACATAGATACACATAGAAAGTGGTTGCTATTGTGAGATATTATCGGTTTCTATGACGCATACGACATTAACAAGCTCAAGGAGAAAAGAGAAGGCAGTATCACGGGAAAAAGTAATACCCACAACAACTTGTAATTGAACAAAAAAATGTAATAACTGTACTGCTTATATATTTCACAAAAATTTTTTAATCGTTCCCAGCCGAATACCTCAATTTCCCGTAAACCCGTGCATTTTTAAAGAAATTATCTTTCAACAATTTATAGAACAATTTTGTTTTTGGTTTCACGTCCAGGACGGGAAACGTGGCAATAATCGCACAGCGAATATTTCAAATAAAAGAGCATTTCAATTTGATGGAAAATGCAATCCATATCGAGCACTAATTTCTAAAAATTCATTTTCAGCAGGATGAAAAATCGCACAAACTATTTGTAAAACGGTAGAATGCAAGTTTCGCGAGGCAAAGAGCCATACAGTGCAACTTGAAAAATAATGTTTCATATATATTCATAAGAATTTCTGAATTATACATAGGCGCGCTATCTTTCTTCGCGCAAACCGCACCAATTCTCGATTATTCTGATGCGCACTGAAATAACAGTGCTCCAGGTTCCCGTCTTTTACGGCGGCGGATAATACCGCGTAATGATGTTCCATAAAGATCAGTACGTAGTTGGTCAATTTATTATGCAGAAATTACCAGAAAATTAAGTTTGCGTGTTATCTTTTGTCGCGTGGCGTATGGAACAACGTTGGCCGGTTGTCGGGCCAATTTAATCTACGGTGTCGTAACAGACGCACACAAAACCATCGCGTATACTCGATAATTATTGAATGCAAACGTACGCGGGCGTCACTCTACGGGTTAAACTCGCGAGCAAAAGGTCGATACTTTCCGAGGAAATAAATTAAAGACGCGACCAGCTGTTCCCTGCCGCGGTGCCAGAAGTCCCGACCGCCAAACTTCGGACAACTTCGAAGGCTGCTTTATGCCTGGCGACTCCTCGAACACGCGCGTGCCAATAATTTGTCCGGCGCGATGTAATCTAAATGAAATAATACGCGCTCGACAATAATGATTGCCTGACGCTCGCCACGCCATCACCTGCTGCAGCTGTTTACGGAATAATGGGAAAGGTGTTGATTCAAAATCAGCCAAAATTATCCGAGACCGATTTTCCTGAAACTTCGCATATCGGTAGTCCTTTTGGTCTACATTGATTCCGTGTAAAAACTTTTTCCCTGGATTTCCCGAGACATAACTTTTGACTCTTTCATTGATATGCAGGAAACAACCATTTTTCCGGGCGGAAGCCGTCTAGAACTACGACGGAGAAATCAAGTATTGACGAGATGTGTGACACTTTTATACTCAACCGGTGATTTTCCTGTCCACGCCGGAAAATCGTCGCGGTGGTGTTCTGATGATGGTTCAAAGTTTTTAATTCTTTTAATGAAACTTTTCTGCAATATTAAATAATTTAAACCGTCCCAATATAACGCAGCAAGCAGCTGAAAACGATTTGAAGCTTTAAACTATTATCAGAACACCATCACGACGATTTCCCGGCTTGGACAGGAAAATCGTCGGTTCAGTACAAAAATATCATACATCTCGTCAGTACTTGATTTCTCCATCGCAGTTCTAGACAGTTTCTACCCAAAAAAAAATGGTTGTTTCTTTTAGTCCTTTGATTCTGCCTATCAATGGAAGGGTCAACAGTTACGTCTCGGAAAATCTTAAAATACTGCGTCTTTCGTTTCAATGCATCAAGTACTGTCGTGAATATAGATCGAAATAAACTGAAGGAAATACGTTACCTGTTACGTGTATAATGAGGTATAAAATAAAATGAGCAATATCTACAAGCTGGTATAATTATTGTAAAATATAACCAATGTGTTTCACTGTTTCAAAACAGTAAAATTTATAACAATAACACAGATGAGTTATATACAGTGTACATATAATCATAGGAAGCGTTTTTTTCACGTTTGGAACGAATGTTTAGGTCACTCAATTGCATGCCCGAACTTCTATTTACATTTTACTTTCTAACTCAAAAACGAATAATTTCCCAAGGTTTGACAAACACTATTCGAAACGCATGAAACGTACTATTAATACAGTGTTTTTTGTTAAAATTAGACGATATTCTTTTTGGGAATTGCAATTTCTCTGAATTTTTTCCACTTGGATAAACACGAAAAACATGAAAATATTGTGTGCAATAAATAAATTACATAAACTTATACACCGTCGGAAAACGAATTTTTTATGATTTTTTCGTATCAATCTACGGTCGATATCGTGTTTTCATTAAAAGTAACAACACATAATAGATTTCACAAAATACGCACTTTGACCTCCTCTTCCCCGTAACCTTGAAGTCAAGGGAAAAAGTTTTTGCATGGAATCAATGTTATACTCAAAGGGCTACCAATATGCAAACTTTCAGGTAAATCGGTCTCGGATAATTTTGGTCGATTTCAAATAAATACCTTTTCGAAGGAAATTAAAGACAATGAGACTACCGAGTTCTCTTGCGATTTCGATTCCGTGAAGGTAATTTTTGGTTACACCGGATAAATATCTCCTTTCATGTTCGTCGTTACTCGATGGCGCAACGGAATTCCGAAGGAAAATTAGGGTCGCCGGACATTTCGATTCCTTTATGTGAAACGGCACAAGGTCTCGATTGAGAGATAAAATTGAAACAAGTCGACAGCGATAATACGGGGAAGTGGAACATAATTAATACATTACTTGCCGGTAACTGAACGGTAGGTCTTATATTGTCAGTTTGTCGATCGGATGCACATAAATAAGCTCGTTAAACCTTCAATGTTTAACGTTTGACTTTTTCAATATTTTATATTTTTAATATTCGCTTTTATGACAAGTCTTGTAAGAATTTGAAACATATCCTATAAAAATGGTATTGTTTGATATGTTTTATTTTGTTCTCGTTATTTCTATTTGATAATTCAAACCTTCGGTACTGAAGGTATTGAAGACGATAATCTAGAATTGAGTAGTCTTATGTGTGTACTCGGTTAATTCACAGCCAGGCAATATGTTAATATTAATTTAATTAATTTCCATTAACCCTTTGCACTCGAGCGGCGCCTTTCAATCAATTTGATCGAACAAAATGATCAAATTTAGAATTTAATATCAAATTTTGTATAATGTATCAATACATGGCACATCGAAATAAAATAGTTCTGTCGCTTAATTTATACAAGGTATTTCTTTATTTTAGTTGTAAAACAGATTGATGTTTCATCAGAAAATAATGGATATTTGTTGAACAAAATATTCTCGAGTGCAAAGGGTTAATAATTAATTGAACATATAATATATTTTTACTATTTAATAATTAATAAATATTTGCGAGTAATTGTGGACTTACCCTTGTGTGTTGTCGCGTGATAAGCTCGTGCTGGTGTAGGCGGTCCGGGGGTGGCGGGAGTCGTCGCGACGTAACTACCCCCGCCACCCCCAGGAAATAACGAGTACAGCCCGTAACGACTCACACCTGTAACATCGTAAAGAAACAAAATTGACTTTTTACACTTATGTATCTGCTGATATGGATCTGGGTATGTTGAATTCAAATGCAAAAAAGAAAGAGTGTAGGGTAAAGATGTTTCGTGTAATAAACTGTTATTATAGACAGCACTATCTTATATCAAGTCGGTTATTTTCAATACAAAATATACTTTTAAGAATTTATATCGTCTTGAGAGATATTCTCATCAGAAATCGTGTCTAATATAAAATTGTTGTACGAGTTATTTGTTAAATAATTGGCTGAATTGCCCAACAAAGTTTAAATTTGAATATTCAACAAACAATTCTTGTGAATGTCCGTATGTTGAATACAAATTTGTAAACTGTTTCTCTCTTAGAAAGTTTAAAAGTTTAAAAACATCTTTTATAGTAACTATAAAGACTATACAAACGTTTATGGTAGAATAAAATTTTATTAATTCTCCAAAATAAAATGATATATATCTATGTTAAAAGCATACTACACAATTAAATATTTATAATTATCTTCTCAACAGACAACAGAATTTTTGTAATGCTCTTTTGGGCGATAACTCTAAGAAAACAATCGCTCTATCGTGTGGTGTAGTTTAATTCTATTTTAGAATTTTAAATTCAACATTATTTAAACATATGGAAATATTCTAAACGTTTCAATTTTATACAAATTTTCATCATTTCTATTTCTGAGAATCCATTTAATTGTTTCTTGCAATAAATGTTTGTACAGTTTTCATAATTTGCGTGCAAATAATTTTTACATTTAAATATTTCATTTGTTATTTTGAAATTGACTTTACTCGCATAGGTGTTGATGAATTTTATTAATTTATTATATTCTATTATAAGTTTGTTTAATTATAAATACTTAATGATAGCTTGTTACTGTTATTATTCGCTTTCCATTACTTACAGCATATATACACCTAAGCACTAAAAATATATATATGTAATAAAATATCAAGGTACTTTCGTATAATAAAATAAAAAAAAAAAGATTATT